TTTAAAAAAAGATAGAGCTAGAAACATGAAAGTCTATCGCAAAAAAATCGCACAAATACAGGTTCAAAGCCCAAAGAAAAAAACCCCGATACGAGTAAACAACTAACTAACAAAAGGCCTCAATACAACCGTAGAGCATACCTAGATACACCTAGTGAGCCAGACAAACCTACCTAGGTTTCACCTAAGCGGATCGTCAGGGAAAGCCGGCTCTCCTGACGATCCGTTTAGGTGAAACCAGGTAGGTTTGTCTGGCTAGGTTCACTAGGTATATATATATATATATATATATATATATATATATATATGTGTGTGTGTGTGTGTGTGTGTGTGTGTGTGTGTGTGAACCTAAAGAGCCAGACAAACCCATTTAGGTTCCACCTACGCGGACCGTCAGGCCACGCCGGAGGTTGTTTTCTTTGGACTCTGAGCTTGGATTCTGGTCGATTTTTTCGCCTGAATTACATGTTCTTCTTTCCTTCTTTTTTATTTCTTATTTTTCCTTGGCTATTGGTTTCTTCATTTACAAGTCAATACACCTAAGGTTTTTCCGGACTAGAATACTTACTTATATTTATAAGATTATTATTATTATATATATATATATATATATATATATATATATATATATATATATATATTATTATCATTATTATTATTACGTACCACCCTCCTTTACTGTTATAGTAATAGTGAGAGGTACAGTAGAATATAACAGAGAATCACGAATTCTTTTGCCAATGGTCCTTTCCTGATTGATCAAACACGGCCGAATCAATTAACGAACAAACATATTAAGTGACCAACAAGAGAAAGCAAAGATATAAGAAAAAAAATAAGCATTTTATTACTAAAATATACAAATGGGGATCAAATATATTGAAAGATGAAAGGCGGGGCAAAACAAAAATTCAATGAGACAAAAATACGTAAACAAAACAATGAAAGGGTAACTTATCATTTCACAAACGTTAATATCATATTGAGATACGACCTTGTGGCAAACTTGCATGAAATCATAAATAAAGATAAAGCAAGCTATAGAAACAAAGGACGTATCTGTTATTTGAAATTTTTTTCTTTTTCTTTTTCTCTTCAATTATTTTAGTGTTTCTTATATGTTTCTCTTTTCTTTTATATTTCATTTTATCTTTAATTTTTTTAATCTTTTTTCTTTTCTCTTTTTCTTGCTGGGTAGAAAGTTTATATGTGAAATGTATTTCTTTTTGGTTTCCTTTCTTTCGTTTAATTTTTCACCTTATCCAGGTTTTGAGTTACGAATAAGTTGGATTTTTCTTTTCCTTGGCTCACATGCTAATGTATCTTTTTTGTTTGGCTGTATCTGCTTCTTTTAGCATGACGGAGATTGGTTTCTTGGAATCAACACTTTACTGGATCTTTAGATTTATATCAATACCGCACATCCAAATCTATAGCAGATCATAGCAAGTTTAACTGGGCGTTCATTCATTTTGAATTCTGAAGACGGACTGAATTGGTGGCAGTCTTTACGTGCCTAGAATTTAACACGTGTCCCATGACTCCCAAATACAGATTTTTCCATGTTTGGGCGAAAAGAGTTCACTGATACTTTTTTCCTTTTACAGTCGTAGCTCAGAGAGTTCAAGGTTGCTTTACTGTTTGGGTAATATCCGGTCAAATCATCACGCTATCACGTTACCAAGAAGGAGAAAGTGTCCTTTTTATAGGATACATAATTTTTGCTGTGGTGGATGCAAGTTGGATCAAGAAGTTTTGTCAATTTCACTTTATTTCTTTTTCATTTTCCCATTTTCTGAAAGTACTGGCTCCTCATTCAGAGTACTTCTAAAATATAAACTTCAGTGTTGATTAGAATAAAATTAAATGTGGCTTCCAAACAATATACAGGTTGTCCAGAGAGTTCGAGTGCACTTTAAAGAATTTATAACTTTATTTGTATTTGCGATGGAAATAATCTGTAAACAATGTTATAAAGTTTAATGAAACTAGTTTTAAGTAAAACTAACATAACTAATCTAATTCCAGGCATTACTGTAAATCAATTGGCAAATGTTTTCCGTGGACTGCAAAATCGTATTACCCTTTGTATTGCTAATGATGGAGGACATGTGGAAACTTAAATAAAATTTCAATAAAACTTTAAGAAAAATAGATTTACTTCTTTCTACTCCTTTTAAAAAAATATTTCTATTGCAAATATAAATAAAGTTATATTTTTTTAAAGTTCACACGAACTTTATAGACACCCTGTATATATATATATATATATATATATATATGAATAGTGAGTGAGTAAGAGAGAGAGAGAGAGAGAGAGAGAGTGAGTATGTGTGTGTGTGTGTGTGTGTGCGTGCGATTGATAAACTGCCTGAGTCCTTCACTATTAAGTACAGGTCTTATTTTCTTATCAGAATGATCAAAGTGAGTTTTCCGAGATGCCATATCACTATTAGACGCGTGCATCATTTCCAAATCCTCTGCCCTGTCCTCAAAATAACACCTAGATAATCTGAAATGTTCGTATTGGCGCTCCCGAAACAAATAACAAACCAGTGCAGCATGCCGTTTTCCAAATTATTGGCTTTATGAATAACGCCATGATTCTTCTTTTTACTCACAGACGGTGCCTTATATATATATATATATATATATATATATATATATATATATATATATATATATATAAAGAGATTTAAGAGAGATAGTGAGAGAGATTTTGTTAAATAAAGGTATGTCTCAATCCCTCCTCCTGTCTATCAATTCGATAAACCAGTATGTTTTGCTCTCAAATTCTCTTCCAAATCTATTTTAGACTCGTACTGAGTACCTTCATTGACTTTACACTTAAAACCGAGACTCAACACTGAAATATCTATAAAACACCGTCCATGGTTTCAGTTGTCATGTTCAAACTTGCCCCACTAATATGATATCTCCGCAACTGTTGTTAGAATGTGCCCATGAACAGGTCCCTTATTTCTTCAAGTTGTACTATAGATGCCTTGCTTCTCCTTGAATTCAGATCTTGAATTCGACTTGTCTCATTCTCCGAAGAATCGACCTGTACATCTTCTTTTCACTTTGACAAAGTATGGTAAGCTCTAATCGATTTTTAATTAGATAATTACTTCATCTCGGAATGATTTCTTTCACAGGAAAAATATGGCTATTTCTTCTATTGGTCAAACACAGAAGTGATCACAGATATTTCTTAAAGGTAGTCAAGAATTAGTTAAGAAGAACAAAGATCGATCTGTAGCTTTTGATAATTCGAAAGCACTATTTACATTATTCGGACTATTGCCCTCATCTTTCTCACCATATTTATTACAGCGTTTCGGTCGTTGTACGCTCCGGCCTTCATCAGGTGGTTGGAATGTCGAACTGAACCCTTTATTTCCAACCACCTGATGAAGGGCGATGCGTAAAACGGCCGAAACGTTGTGATAAATATGGCAACAAAGATGAGGACAATAGTCCGAATAATGTAAATAGTGTACATAATACCTCATTTCAGAAATATAGATAGATACTGAAGGACCGAAACGTTGAAATAAATATGGCGACAAAGATGAGGGCAATAGACCGAATAATGTAAATAGTGTACATAATACCTCATCTCAGAAATATAGACAGAATTCGAAAGCGTTTGACAAGTTTTGTTACGCTTCTTCAGAAGGTGAAGACATATGGTGTTTGCCAGCATTTCTTTGATTTGATTCAATCCAATCTTTCTTTTAAAACCGCATCAAGAAAGTTATCTTGAACGGTCATTCCTCTAGATCTGTTTGCATTAATTCGGGTGTCTGCAAGTGCTCTCTCCTCGGACTAACTTTGTGCCTCAATTTCATCAACGATCTTCCTCGTGTCATCAATTCGCAACTCGGCCTTTAAGGTGATGACCCAAATATTTAATACTCTCTTAGTAGTAAGTCTGATAGATTTTTTTTCTATTAGTATCAACCTATGCAAGGCACTAAAGCCACCAAGACACAAGGGGTTATATGCTATAGGAGAATTAGCAACTACTGTCTGTTTCCGGTTGAGACATTTGAAAGTATTTAAAAACTGACTGAAAAAGCAATATTTTAAAACTTCACCTGAAAATTGCGTTGTGCATCTATATTTATAGATTTAAGATCTTTTATTCTACATCGAGCACGAAGTTATTAACTCGAGGACCCAATCTGCAAAATTCATCTAAGAAAAAAAACACGGGTTTGCCCACTTCGAAGGTACAAGAACCAATTAAAAACAGCACGGGAAGCCAATGGACTTGAGTCTAACTGTTTTAAAACACACGCTATTGGAACCAAAAATTTTGAGCAATGAAATTCATAGGAACAAGTCACGCTCCCCTCGGAAAACTCCACTGCTATTGAAAAGACACAGACATGCCAGGTTGAAATTCGTTCGTGAACATAAGGCTAAGGAAAAATAGTAGTGGGAAAGAGTAGTATGGATAGACGAAACCATAATTTGGTTGCTTGGACGTAATTCTAAAAATCATGTATAGAATATGATGTCGATTCCGGGATGAAATCCGGTCTCAAATGAATGACGTTTGCAGGAATGAAATATAGCAAATAAATGTATTGACGTAATAATACAATTGGTAATACGGTTAGTAGATCCAGAAATGCGGTTAGTAGCAATAATAATATATATACAGTCTGGGAAATTCAGTATCGAAGTATGACTTCCTTCTGAGTCTACGTGCTCGCAACTGTGACTCCTACAAAGCGCTTACCTCACACCCTCACTGTATCCCTGTATATGAAAATATTCTGGAAGCAAATTTAATGATTTCGGTTGAAAATCTTGAACTTCTTCCTGATTGGATCTTCCAAAAAGATAATGATCCTAAGCACACTGCAAAATCCACAAAGAAATGGCTTGCTGAAAATAATGTAAATATCCAGAAATTGCCAAGACAGTCCTCAAATATCAACCCAATGGAGAATAGCACGCATACACGCACACACACGCAAGCATACACGGATAGATAGATAGATAGATAGATAGATAGATAGATAGATAGATAGATACTGAATGGACATACCAAGATAGATAGATAGATAGATAGATAGATAGATAGATAGATAGATAGATAGATACTGAATGGACGGACCCAAATAGATAGATAGATAGATAGATAGATAGATAGATAGATAGATAGATAGATACTGAATGGACGGACCCAGATAGATAGATAGATAGATAGATAGATAGATAGATAGATAGATTTGGGGAACATATATTTAGGCAGTAAATGTTCGTTTATGCCAGTTTTCCCTTATTCAGGCTGTAACAGATCATGATAAATGGTGATGTCTTTTAATTAATTTTCTTGTGTTCGTTTTACATTCGATTGAAATATGAATAAACACTGCTTATTTGAACTGCGAGAAATCGACAGATACTGTCTGTCAAACGGCCTTCAACACTCTTTAATGATCATTATGGGGAATTACAACCATTTGAGATGACTCGGACAGTGGGCTTTTAACAGTCTTTTGTTATAATTTTGAAGAATTACAACCGTTTGAGTTGGATCAGAGACAGACTTTTTATTCTTTTAATACACCTAATACAAAGACCAAAGCCCAGTTACACTAATTGGCTACCGATCGCTTTTTTTTCTTTTTTTTTTGTGAAGGAAGGGGGAAGGGGAGGAGAGAATAAGTCTTCCGCATTATAAGGACGTGTAGCATAGATATCAAATGAACTTGAACATTTCAGGGCCCAAGATCGTCGTTGCCAAGAAAGTATTCCCTCCTGTGTTCCACAAAGTAACAATTCTGGAGATGCAGCTGCCTGACTGGAACTTGCTCCTTACAAAAGACAAAGGGATTGGGGTTCATTTAACACTGTGGTCATTACTTGGCTTGTCCTAGTTGAGAAGCAGTGGACTAAGGAATGTAACTCGTTCTAGAATCTGCGATATTAATATCGATGTTTGTTGGAGATGTTCTGTCTGTCGTATAATAGCTGCAGGTTGGAGAATAATTCATCGACCTCAAGTACGGCTAATCGTTTTTTACTCTTTTGAGGCAAGTCTGTGAGGGCTGTTCATCGCTAACCCGGATATGTCAGCAATATTCCATAGATAGACTGCTCTGAATTTTGTAGATGTAGAGCATGGCAGCAGGGTGGGGGAGATATTTTCGTCAGCGTTCTTCCAGTGTCATTTTTTAGATCTTATGGCACGTATATATGCAATCCATTTGAGTTTGGATGTTAGATTTAGACACAGTAGATGCTCAAGTAAAAATAAACCATTTTGAGGATAGGACCACACATTATGATTGATGCATATATTAGGGTCTTCTCCGTGGTGATGGAATGTTACTAGTTTCGTTTTGGATGGACTGAATGGTACTAGACTCTCCTTCCCAAATTGAGCTGTGAATGTTAAGTTAGAGAAGATATCAGCTACCAAGATATTTGAAGGTACATCCATACATCCTGGTGTCATTTATATTTCTCTTTCTCTCCATATATATATATATATATATATATATATATATATATATATATATATATATATATATATTAGAGAGAGTCATTTTGGAGAATTACATCCGTTTGACGTGGCCGGGTATTAAAATTTGGAGTATTACATCCGGTAGTGTTGAGCCTGACTGTAGGTTTTCGATAGGTTTTTCTTGACCATTTTGAAGAATAAAAATTTTGAAGAGTCGGACTCTAGATCTTCGACGGATTTTAATATGAGCATTTGGTAGAAGAAAATTTCGAACGGTACACATTAATGATCAATTTTAAAAGTATAGTCCTATGAAAATGACTGAACCTTTGACCCTTTTATAGACTCTAATATTTCTTTTGCACTGTTCAACTCTTTCTAGTGTGGTTAGACCATAGGCCTTCAATAGACTTTATTGATCTCTTTTGAGAACTACAACCGTTGATAAATGGTCTTTCGATATATTTTAATGAGCAGTAGACGTAGTAAGTTGGGACTTGGCTGTTAGGGTTTGGCATCTTCAGAACAATTGTCATGGAAGTAGCAATACAGCAAAGACCTTTATTACGACAGAAAATATAACTAGGAAATGGAATTCCTTTGGTTGTTAATTTTTAGGCCTTTTTTGAATGATTAAATCGTAAAAATATTGCGATCAATAAACGTCTTTTAAATTTACATTGTATTTAATTCTTAATGAAGAATTTTATTGTTATTTAGTTTGGGTGAAAGATAGCGAAAATACTCAAAACCAGAGTGAAGACAGATTCGTGACCAATTTTAGTAATCTTTATTTTTGTGGCCATCGTGGATAGACGGGACTATTGTAAAAGGCGTCTATACAAGCCGGGAACCTGAGGGGTAGGATGTGATTCAAAGACGCTTCGGAAACCGTTTCTTTATTTTTAGTTACAAAAGATTCGGTGTTATTGCCGGCGTTCGTGCATAACGTGAGTATCAAGATAAAAGCTCAACAATGATATTATACAATTAAAGAAGTATCGAAATAATTGATTCACTGACCGAAGCCATTTTCCAGTTGATTCGTCTTCCGAGTTTTCGAAAGATGAAGATGTTGATGTGGTTTGTATTTATATCTGAAAGAAAAATCACTGAACCAGACGACCGAAAAGGTAGAATTGTATACAAAAACCGTATATATCTATATTTCTGAGATGAGGTATTGTAACTAATTTTCATGTCCGGAATATAGACAGGTCCCGAAGAAGGCCGGAACGTAACAAAGCCGAAATGTAGTGAATATGAGAATAAAGATAAGGGCAACAACCCGAACAATATAAATAGTGTAGTTTTCAACACCTCATCTCAGAAATATAGGTAGATGCTGAAGAAGGCCGAGCGTACAAAGGCTGAAACGTCGCGAAAATGAAAATAATAAAGATGAGGGCAACAGACCGAACAATGTAAATAGTGTAAATAGTTACAATACTTCATCTCAGAAATATAGACAGATCCTGGAGCATGCCGGAGCGTACAACGGCCGAAACGTCACGAATATGAAAATAAAGACGAGGACAAGACCGAACAATGTAAATAGGGTAAATAGTTACAATACTTCATCTCAGAAATAGTGTGATTTGGTAATTTGTTTGGGGTAATTTATTTTGCTTATTTTATTGTTATTTATTCTATTTATTTTTATTTTTTCCGTTTTTCGATTTTTAAGTAACGTAGTAAAAATTTGTTTTCACATCTGCATTTTGAGATGAGCTCGGATCTATTATTTAATAATTTATTTTGGTCTGGGAAAGTAATGATAGCTATTTTTTCCTCCAAGCAAAGTTTGCAAGTTTTGATTGGTTGTTGTATGCGGATGATCTTTTCCTTATTTTCCAAGATATTTTTGGTGTGATGTGCCTTTTGTTTTTAATTTCGCAGATATACTTAGAAAGCATTGTGCTGTTCGCATATTTACTAGTTGTGAAAGAAGTTTTGTGTGTATAATTTCTTTGTTTCCCGCGTCCTTCAGTTACTCCTATGTATACTTTGTCTTCATTATCTGGTGATTTTATCGTGGCTTGGTATATTACGTTGTTTTGTAAACAATTTCCGTTTAAGGGACATTCGTTCTTTATTCTGCAGTTGCATGTGGGTTTAATTTGTTCGTTTGGTTTGTTGATAATTTTTCTGTTGTGCTTTCTTATTATTTGTGCCATGTTCTCGGTGCAACTGTAGCTGATTTTTACTGTGTCTTTGTTGAATATTTTGTGTAGGGTGCTTGATTCCGGGTAGTGTTTGTGGAAGAATTTGAATTTTTCCTACGTTTATTTTTACGTTTTTTCGGTACGGCGGGTTGAACCATATGACATTTCTTTTCCTGTTGGCCTATTTTATGTTCTGTGGTGAGTATGTGAGTTTTGCTGGGAATCTGCTATCTTTTAGGGCTGTTTCATAGTCTTTCTTAGCTTTGTTAAATATGGATTCATTGGAGGAATTGTCGGAAAGACTGCGGTTAATCGATTTTGGTATCTTTTTATTATAGATGGTGTCTGGTTGGATGATGTGTGTGTGTAGAGTGGATTATCATTCTTTCTCTGCATCATTTCTACCATATATTTAATAATTAATATTTAATAAATGTTTTTCGTACTGATTTTATTGCTATCTTTTCCCATGACCTTACCAACCCATGTATAGTACATGCTATAAGTACACGGTGACACTTTCTTCTAATTATATATATATATATATATATATATATATATGTATACCAGCTGTAATAGCAAAATTGTCCGATTGTTAGATTAAGATTTGTACCGATGTATCTTAGAAATGATTAAAGATATTCGAGAAGTGTTTTATAAACCTCTTATACATTACTTCGAGCAATAAGAATGTATAATTGCTCTCCAAACTTCACAGAAGAATCGTAATGAAATCTCTCATAAACGGAAATGACATGTTCATCATTAATTAATCATAGCTAAGGCTTGGAAGCACATGTGGATTGAAATAAAGTTCATATATATATATATATATATATATATATATATATATATATATATATATATTAAATTGTTTGTATTTAGGCACCATTTTTTATGCGTGTTTCCGTAAATAATATAGACAAGTGTTGTCGATGTTTTACGTAAATTCTTTTTATATCGTCTGACAAGCTTAATAACATTATCATGAAACGAAGAAAGAAAATCACAATATCGATACATATTTTTTAATCCAATCTAAGCTTTCGGCTTACATAAGCCATTATCAAAGATGACAATTACATTACAATAATTTTTCCTTGGCTATTTTAATTTGCCTTTTCACAAGGCTACATTTATAATTCCAAGTATTGAGAGATTTGTCGGCTGCTAGATCATGTAATTTAAATTGTGTGTATTTAGGCAGCATTTTTTCATGCTTAGATAGGATTAAAAATATGTATCAATATTGTGATTTTCTTTCTTCCTTTAATGATAATGCTACTAAGCTCATCAGACGATATGAAAAGAATTTACATAAAATAAATTGACAAAAATTGTCCATATTATTTAATGAAACATGCATCAATGAAAAAATGCTGCCTAAATACTCACAATTTAAATTACATGAACCAGCAGCCCACAAAACTCTCAACACTTCGAATTATAAATATAACACTGTTAAAAGGAAAATAGCCAAGGAAAAATTATTGTAATGTAATTGCCATCATTGATAATGGCTTATGTAAGCCGAAAGCTTAGATAGGATTAAAAAATATTTATCAATATTGTGATTTTCTTTCTTCGTTTAATGATAATGTTATT